CAGGGAGCCCGATGCGGGACTCGATCCCAGGACCCTGGGATCATGACCTGAGCCGAAGGCAGACGCTTAACGACTGAGCCACCCAGGCGCCCTAATAACGTCCTTTTTAATCATTGTTTTTTCTGGTCCAGAATCCAATCCACTCATTACATTTCATGGTCACATCTCTTTAGTCATCTTGAAAGCAGAGCAGGTCTGCCTTTCTCTGTGCTTCCCGACACTGCCATGTTGGATGAGCCGAGGCCAGCGGTGTGGGAGATGGTCCCTCTGTCTGGATTTTCCTGATGTTTTCTCATGAGTAAATCCAGGCTGTGCATTAATGCCGGTCAAAATGATGTTATGGCCCATACTCTATTTTAATTATCCATTTAGCTGCCTTATTTGAGCCCTGGCACAAGCTGATGTGCTGGATGATACATCTTCTGTTTTCCGAGCAGAAATCAGAGAGAGGAGCTGGGCTGTGGTTTTTGGTGGCTCTTACCAGACTGCCGCCCCTCCCCTCCACCACCACCCGAAAGATCATCCCTGTCCCCTGCCCCCAGCCCTGAGACAAGCCCTCTATCATGGGAACCCCCCATCCCGAGCCCAGTACCGCTGCTCCCACCTGCCTGACAGCATGTCTGTAATGCTCCTGGATGCCCTTGGCGGGCAGCTGCCGGCAACAGCGCATCAGGTATCGGTAGAGCTGCAGCGGCCTCTGCACAAGCTCTGCCCCTGGGAGCGGGGCCATCTGCGAGACCCTCTGTCCCTGGAAAACACAGAGCATGACTTCTAAGGCATCAAGCCAAACCTTGGCCCCGAGGCCCACGTCCCACGGCTCTGTGAGCAGGTGTGATACTCCGTGGAGGCCGGGTCCCCTTCGTGCCGCACTGCACAGAACCCAGACCCTGAGCTCGGGCGGAGCATTCTGTCCTGCAGAAGTCTCAGCCCAGGGCAGGCCTGCCGGGACCAAAGGTGAGATCGCACAGCCTCATCCTGGCGCCTTCTTCCTGGAAGCCAACTTGCGGTGGTGGGTGAGGAGGTGTCACGGACAGGCAGAGTAGGGGAGATAAGCAGGAAGACCCTGCACTGCAAGACTGAGAAACCAGCTGACTACAGGCAACAGAGGGGAGAATGGCCAGAGGTCTGAGCCTCACCACTCAAAGTATTGTCTCGGACCAGTAGCACTGACGTCACCTGAGAGCTGGTTAGAAACAGACTCTCTCGCCCCAGACCTGCTAGAGAACAGAATACATTTTAACCAGATGCCCCACAGGCTCATGCCTGGACCTCTACCACAGCATCTTGCCTGCTGTCTGCCCCCACCTTCAGCCTGTCACTCTCCAGTCTCCTCCAGGCAGACGCCAGAATGCACTCTGGAACCAGTGGCCTAGGCTCATCCCCCAAACCAGCAAGTACCTCACCTCTTGGTCCCTTGGCACAAGCAGCCCCTTCAGCATCAAGCTCCCCTCCTCTTCTCTGCCATGGGAGGAACTCATGGTCATCCCTCCAGGTCCAGCTCCGTGTCACTTCCTCTGGGAAGCCCTTCCTGACTGTCCTGCCCTGAGGGGCTGCAGTGCCCTGTTTTGGAGCTGTTACAGCGCTTCCCACACTGCTGAGGATTCATCTGCTGCCAGGCCTGTGGAGGCTGGCCCAGGCCCCGGGGCTTCGTGCCCTGTTTGTTGAACTGGACTGAATGGAATCTGTTATCTGCTCTGTACAGATCTTCCCTCTCTGAGAGAGAAGCTCACAATGTTCCAAACGAAGGAGCTAAAAGACCAAGATTAAGTGATTGGCCTTAGTTTTAAAGTAACATAAAAAGAAGAAAGACAACTCCCTCCCCCTCAAAAAAAAAAGAGATCCAGAATACTAAATCTATCAGAGGTTCTTAAACTAAGAAAGGAAATTCATTAAGTAGCCCATTTCAGAGGCTCCTTCATTCCATTTCCAGCATATTATCTTCCTGGCAACAATAACTGCCTGTCTCCACGGCTAAGTTTGCCAATGCCTCCTGGTACTCTGGGCTCCGGCCATGACACCAGGGCGGGCAGGTGGCGGTCTGCCCCCCAACCCTCCTCCCTTCTGCTAACAGCGCTGGATGTGTGACTGGCGATCCACCTCTCCCCAGGCCTCCACCCACAGCTCAGGGTGGGGCTCCACTCCAGGTCTAACCAATCAGAGCCCTGCATCCACGTGGTCGCAGGGATTGGGCCACAGATGGGCACGTGATGGAAGCTGGCCCAATCAGAACACATTCTACCACCTCTGCAGAGGTGACCGGGAAGGCCTCCGTTCTTTCCCTCTACACTTGCTGCTGAGGGGATTTGCTCCTCTCCCGGGGGCGCCATCTTGCTTCCTTTGGAAGCCTGAGAGTGAAGCCACACAGCAGCAGGCAGAGCTGAGAGTGTGAGAGGAACCAAGTCTGAAGAATTCGTTTGAATCCTACAACCATCCACCTGAAGGCAGTCCTACCTCTAGACTTTTTAATGACCTGACTCAATTAATGCCCTTTGCCAAAGAAAAGGGGCTTGGGTTTGTTTTGTCACTTGCAACCCAAAGAGTCCTAACTGATGGACAGATCTTGACCTCCCAAATTCTGCTTCCACGATGAGGTCTGATGGTTCCAGCTCTAAGAAAGAGTGCAAACACGGCAAGGCCCGTATGGTTCTCCTGCCACGAATCATCAACCTGCCAGTCTGACTAGCTGTGCTAAAGCCCCCCAAAAAACAGGGGAACCCCATACAATGGGGGCAAAGACCTTCAAGGGCCACCACAGAGGACATACCACCGAAGTCCCCATCTGATGGGCAGACTCCACTGGCAGGCTTCCCCAAACTATATAAAGTGCTAATCAAATATTGTAAAATGCTAGTCGTGTAACAGATGGTTACCATCTGCAGTCTTCAAAATTAACATTTGGAAAGAGCACAACTTTGTTTCAGTAGATAAAAACCCAAGCAATACTTAGAAACCAACCCAGCAAGTATGGGCGGGAGATTATTTTCAGCTCAATTATAATACTTAGTCATTCTCAGTAATAAGTAGCAGAAAATATATGTGTGGGTCCACTCAGAAGAGTTAAACTAAAAATGTTTTAATTTAATTTAAAGTGTGGGTTTGCTATTAAGGGGCAATGAACTTCACAGCGTCATTGCTAAAACTGTAGTCAAATTCTGCAGCCTCTAACCATTGCTTGGCATATCCTGCTCTTTGCACTTGACCTTAGCCTCTCCTGGGCTCCCTGCCTCTGTGAATGCACGTCTGTCTTCTCAGGCAACCAAACCAAAACCATCACTGAGCCAACCTAGACTCTTCTTCCTGCCTCAATCCCATGCCACTGTCTCTAAATCCTATCAAATTCGACCTCTGAATGCCCCCTCTCATCTGTCCCCTCCTCTCTATTCCCACTGCACAGCCTTGCTTCAGGCTCTTATCAGAGCTCCCCTGGACAACGGCCAGAATTCCGAGCACGTCTCCCTATCTTCCAACCTATTTACCACTCAACAGCCAGTGAATCTTTCCAAAACCTAATCTCAGCATGGCATGTTCCTGCCTAAACCTCCAGATCTGATATCCCACCCCTACCCTGTCACTCATGACAACTTTCCCCAAATGTAGGAAAACTGTGAAATTATTTGAAGCAGTATATGGGCCAACATCTTTTTATTGTAATGATTTAATATTTATTTTCATGTGTAAAGAAAAAAAATCCCGTAATTTTATAGGTATTGTGGCTTAAACAGTTTTAAAAAGGAATGGGCGTAAAACTGATATTTTTAAATGTATCAAAGAAGAATGCAGTTGAGATGTGAATATGACAAAAATCATGGAAGTGGTACTGACGTTTAGAAAGCACTGGCCTATGGAACAAAATCCATACTCCTTCCTCCAAGGCCCCTGCCCACCCTTCATCCCATCTCCCACCACTCACTGCAGAGTCCAGGCAAACAGCTCTGAGTGGCGCACTCCATGAAAGTCTGTGTCATGTTCGCATGTCATGGTCTCTGCACCATGACAGAATGCTTAGCATATAGTAGATGCATTAGGGTTCCCCAGAGACACAGAACCAATAGAATATACAGAGAGAATATATATATATATGTTATATTCATATGTGTACATTATTTATAAGGAATTGGCTCATGTGATTATTGAGGCTGGCAAGTTTGAAATCTCACAGAGCAGATGTCCCAGTTTGAGTCAACGTCAAACCAAGAAGAGCCAATGTCCCAGGCTGAAGGCCATCAGCCAGGAGAATCCTCTCTCACTCGGGGGGAGGGTCAGTCTGTTCTATTCAGGACTTCAAGTGCTTGGATGAGGCCCACCCATATTAAGGAGGGCAATCTGCTTCACTCAGTCTCCCAATTTAAATGTTAATCTCATCCAGGGGCGCCTGGGTGGCACAGTCGGTTAAGCATCGGACTCTTGGTTTTGGCTCAGGTCATGATCTCAGGTCAGCCCTGGGTTGGACTCTGAGCTCAGTGCTGAGTCTGCTTAAAAGACTCCCTCTCCCTCGTCGACCCCTCCCCAACTCTCTCTCTCTCCCCCTTTAAAAAATAAATAAATAAATGTTAATCTCATCCAAAAATACCCTCACAGACACACCCAGAAAAATGTTTAGCCAAATCTCTGGGCAAGCCATGGCCCAGTCAAGTTGACATATAAATGGAATCATGACAGTAGATGTTTAAGATTCATGTGTCAAATGAATCCTCCCACTCTTGCCCACAATCTGCTTCCTGCAGGTCTCCTGATCCTACAACACTCAGCTGTTAGGTCTGGCACCTCCTCCTGGAAGACTTCACTGGCCCACCATCCCTGCCACCATGTTCAGTGGGAGACCTGTAGGTACCTCAAACAGCCCTCGTGTCCCCACATCACTCTAGGTCGGGCTTCAGCATCTGCTACCTGCACTACCGGGGGGATATTTACCTGCCCTCGGCCCCCTTCCAGCCAGCCTCCACATGGCAGCCACAATGCCTTGTCTAACGCCCCACTTAAAATCTTCCCACAGCTGGATGTGACAGGATATTGTGAATTATTATCAATTATTAATTTTCTTAGGTGGAACAACAATGTGTTGTGTGGGAGAATGTCCTCATTCTTGGGAGATGCAAGTGGAAGGAAGTGTTTAGAGGTGATGTGTCATCATGTCTGCAACTTACTTTCACATGGTTCCACAAAAGGCAACACAAAAAGAGAAAAGATAGGGTGAGAAAGATAAAGCAGATGTGGTGAAATGTTCAGATTGTGTTTAGATGGCAGGAATAAGGGTGGACATTGTGCTGCTATTTCAACTTCTCTATATTTTGACATTTTTTGTAACAAAAAGTTGTTTTCGAAAAACCCTTCCACCACTTTCCCATTACCTGGGGGATAAAGTCTTAAACTCGTGAGGCTGGCACCAACTCCTGAAGCCTTCTTACCCCACCCCCTTCAGATTCAGACCTAATCACGCCTCCACCTGCCAGGCACGCTCGCACACCGCCAGTAGTTCCTTTAGTAATAATAACAACTAATAAGCACTTACAATGATTACTACAGCAGCCTTACTGAGTATGTATCATGTGAGAGACACTATTCTAAACGATGCACGTGAATTTATTTTAATCTTCACAGTAACTCTACAAGACGAGTTATTATGCTCTCCTTTTACACATAAAGAAACAGAGGCAAAAAGAAGGCAAGAAATTTGGCCAAGGTCACATAGCTATGAGTGCAGAAGCCACAATCTCCACCTGGGAAGTCCAGCCCCAGAATCCAGATGGGTGCTACTCTTCCTAACGGCACCCCCCTCCCCAATTTCTTTCTAAGGGATGACTTCTTCCCATTGAGCCTGGCCTGCTAAGACTGTTGTCCGTGGCTCCATCTCTCCCAGCCACAAGGAGAACATCAGACCCCGGCGAGGCCAACTGAGTACTCCCCACCTCTGGAAATGGGCTCTCGAGCAGGGTTACAAAGAGCCTGAAAATGAGTTCACACACCCCAGCAATGGTGTGTCCTCATCAGCCTCTTCCTGCTCTGAACTGTCCTTGTAGCTCTTGCCTCCTGGCCTGCCAGAAATGTCTAGATTCCTGCCCAATCCTCCAGCCTTCTCCCTTGAACCTGTGAGTCCCTAACACTCTTCCAGGAAATTTCTTCTTGCTTAAGTCTTCCTGTCCCCTCTTACTCCCCACACCGAACTAGACTCTCTCCCTGATCTGTCTGCCCACAGCTTGCTGTGCCTGCTTAGATCAGCAGGAATCGCCCCGGCCCCAAGTATTTGCCTCTCCATCCTCCCCGACAGGACGGAACTCCCATGATGGCAGGGACTGTGTCCGATTCCCCCATCTCTGTCCTCTCAGTGCCGGCATGGTACACCCTGGTACCGAGCACACTCCTCCATCAATGCTTGCTGGCTGATGAACCTCAGATTCTTCCAGGCCCTGAGCAGTCCTGCCCATCACCTTCGGCAGCAACAGCCTCCCTTTCCTGCCCATCTATGCCAAGCCCTTCCGGTCCCCTCAGCTTCCCTCCACCTCACCTGAAGGAACTCCCTGCAGGCAACCGATGCCTCCTGCCTCACTCTGTCTGGAGAGGCCATCGGGCAAGAATATGTTCAAATCCCCTCCTCTGTGAAATTCATCCTTGCCCGAGAGCTGACTGATGTGCTAAGCGTGGTGCTAGACATTTTTACGACAATCCTCTGACAAAAAGCATTATCATCCCATTTTGCAGATGTGGAAACTGAGGCTGATCATGAATACACAGCCAGGGAGTGGCGGCGCTGGGAAGCGGACTCTAACTCCAGTGCTCCAACCTCCCTGAGTTCTTTAAGGAAAGGGGTCCCTCCTTTTCCTTGTCTCTGTTAGCCTCTCAGAGCCTCTCTCCTGGATTAATTCAACACCCTTCTGACATGTCTCTTCTTCAATCCCTCCCTAGGCTCAGCCAGAATGAACAACGAAAAACAAAAATCTCATCTTTGAGTTCCTTGCTTGATATCCTTTAAGGGCACACATAGAACAAACTCTAAGCTCATCAGTATGTGTGCATATGGTGGTGGTGGTAGGTGTGTCTATGTGTGTGTGTATGGGCGGGGGGTGGGGGGGTGTCAAGGCTTTCCCCAGTCAACTGCCAATCTCTATCCCATTTGCAACCAAATTCCCCATTCCCTCTACCCTCTTCCCAGCTCGGCCTCCTCTGCAGCTTTGTTAGGCACACAGCGCCTGGCACGCAGTGGTCCCTCAAAAGAAGGGTGTCACATTGAACCCTTCCTCTCTCCAACACCTTCCAGTCAACTCTCCCGCACCCTGAAGACTGAGTGGAGCAGTGAAAGTGCATGGGCCCCAGATCATGGCAAGACTGAGGTGAGGACTGATTAAGGCAGCACGCATGACTGCCTGGCTCATGGCGGCAGCTCATGCAATAGGAGGCCCTTCTCTGGCCCTGGAAAAGCAGCAAAAGGGAAAACAATATGTCATGATACTTCTCGATGCTTCTATCTGAGACAAAAATGGGCTGCCGAAGGGAGCTGCTCGTGTAAACCGACACTGGGAGAGGTTGTGGATTTCACTGATTTAGTGACCTCTGCCGACATCAGAGAGAAAAAAAATATATCTTTTTTTCTTTGAAATCAAACTAAAGAGCAGGTGAAATTTATTTAGCTTTTTCCCAAATCAGAACTGAGCTCTGGTTATTCATGCCGTAGCCTCTGATGAATTAGAAAGTTATAAAAATACCTAAGGTGGCATGGCTTGACTCATGGTAGGTGCTCAGTCAGAGGTGTTAACTGAATGAGCAGAAAAGCCATCCAAAGTAGGGAGTCTTTCAAAACCAGAGTGCCGAAGGCGACCTTTTCCCATCCAGGGTAAAAGAAATCTCTTCTCGGGGCGCCTGGGTGGCTCAGTTGGTTGAGCGACTGCCTTCGGCTCAGGTCATGATCCTGGAGTCCCGGGATCGAGTCCCGCATCGGGCTCCCTGCTCGGCAGGGAGTCTGCTTCTCCCTCTGACCCTTCCCCCTCTCATGCTCTATCTCATTCTCTCTCTCAAATAAAAAAAAAAAAAAAAAAAAATCTTTAAAAAAAAAAAAAAGAAATCTCTTCTCCACATCCCTGGTAGGGAGCCCTTAAGCTTTTCTCCCTTAACATGCTCCCGCGTGGCGGGGAGCTCACGACCTCCCAAGTCTGAGCTCTCCACTTCATTGAGCCAGAGCTGTCACAGATTGCCTTTGCTTCTGACCTAAAATCTGCCCTGTAAACTTCACTCATGGATCTGAGTTCTGCCCTCCGGGGCTCAAGTCTCCCTACCCGACCCCCAAGGCCAGTCTGTCATTGTTCAGCCAGGGACCCCAGCCCCGCAGTCATTCTCTTCCAAGATCCCCACCCTGAAGGTGCTATCCTCTCCTAGAGCCTCCCCGTCCCACTCACGCTCCTCAGGACACACACACATCCTTATTATGGTTTCACTCTTAGATTTTTGTCCAGTGGGAAAGCCACAGTGTTCCTGGGTCCTGACCAGCTCCGTGGGTCCTGGAGCTCAGGTGGCAATGTCCCCTCCTTTACCAGGCAGTTCAAGGAAGGCCGCTCAGACTGCATTCTCTGCTTGGGCCCCCATGT